AGAGCGCAATGATGGTGCCAACTTGGGCCAGTGAAGCAACGTCTGAAGAGCAAAACAACAGCAGCTTGTCTGTTCCCATCCCCCCAATTCCCCAATAAAAAATCTTAAAAAAAAAAAAACATTCTGTAGTAATTATAGTTTTGATTTCATCTTTTATCTGAGTTAAGAGAATTTTTCCTTTTACAGTGGCCAAAGCTTCTGGTTGTCCCTGTAATCCAATACTCCTTTTTATGTGGCAATATATTTTTCAGCTGAGCACATGGTCACCAATCTAAAGACTACTACTTCCTAGTCACTCATAGCTAGGTGTTGCCGGGTGACTTAATTCCACAAGGAGATGTGAGTGAACATTATGTAGTAATGAAGTGATACAAACTCTTACCCTGAAAATGAAAGAGCGTGTCTTCCCCTTCTCAATGCCTGAAATGCAGACATGAAAGAGAGAGGAGCTGGAGCAGCTAATTTAGATGAAAGTGTGGAAGTGACAGGTTGAGATGTATGGAATAAGCAAATAGAAGACACCTGAGTCCCTGACACCAAGGAACTGCCCTATCTACCCTGATGGTTTATGACAGAATTGCTTATGAGCGGCAAATAACTAGTATCTCACTTAAGAACTGTTATTGTGAGGCTCTGCAAGAGCAGCTAATTATAATTAATACAATTAATAATTTTTTGTTTCATTACATTGCTTTCAAACAATATAGAATGTACTATTTGTTACCAGAATATGTTGACATATTTTAGTTGCCTAATAAATGATCGAGTTTGGTAAATATTTTCTGTATTGCTTATTAGGTTTCAAAGCTATATAATTATGTGTATGTATAAGTTTTGCATATTATTTATATATTAATTTTATCTAATTTATATATTATTCCATCTACCTAATTGATCATGTTACCACTTTTCATATCATGCTTTATAATACCCTACTCTTATGAAATATTAATAGGCTCACCACAAAATAAAAAGTTTGATGGTCCATGTATATTCTGTTTCTTGTCTTCATTGTAGTGGTAAATAAAAACTCAGTACCAGGTTGTTTGAATCCTAGTGCCCTCAATTTACCAGCGTGTGAACTTGGACAAGTTATTTAATCTCAATTTCCTCAGTTTTCACGTCAGTAAAATAGAGAAAATAACAGTACGTACCTCACAGAATTGTTATGAGAATTGCACGATGAATGTATGTTGAACACTAATTTAGAACAGTGCCTGACAGAGAGTAAACATTTTTATGAATAGCTAGATACTGATGCATTGCATATTAAAGAGTCTGAGAATTATCGAAGTAATGGAATCTGCTTAATATTGCTTATCCTAGCATTTCCCAACTTTACTTGCGTGTGGGATACTTTGTTCATAGTCAGTTGGGAAAAATGTGTTCCATGGAACAGTGGTTTCGGAAATGGTGGATTAGATGATTCAGATCCACTGCATTACTGAGAGTTCTTCACCTTCACATGGGTACCTGGGTGCAATTTGGGGAGGTCTGTTGAACTCTTGAAATTGATGAGTTTTATATGTATATTCATGTGTACATATTTAGAGGGAAAAGATCCGTGTGTTGATCTTATTCTCAAATTTCTCCGTATGTATTTTTATGTTTAATTCAGCAGTTCTCAACCTTCCTAATGCCGCGACCCCTTAATACAGTTCCTCATGTTGCGGTGACCCCCAACCATAAAATGATTCTCATTGCTACTCTGTAACTGTAATTTTGCTACTGTTATGAATTGTAATGTAAGTATCTTTTTGTTTTCCAATGGTCTTAGGCGACCCCTGTGAAAGGGTCGTTTGACCCTCAAATGGGTCGTGACTCACAGGTTGAGAACTGCTGTCTTAATTGAAACATCAGAAACTAAAAATAGTGTAAGTTGTCTTCTGTTTGATTATTCTTTTCTTCTCTTTGTTGTTGACCTTCTCAAGTTTGTTCTCCACATTATCATAAAGGTTTTTGGAGTATCAATGGATTTTCATTGTTTTAATGTAATTTTTAATTTACTTACAATCCTTTCTTATTTTAAGTCATTCCCTTACCATTTCATCTGAACATTGTCTCTTTAAATGACTGTCTCCTTTTGTTACAAAAAGCAATGATTTTTTGCATATTTTATTTGAATGCTAATTGTTTTGTAATATATCCTTCTGGTTCCCGCCAGCAGCAAATCATTTTCGGAAACAAAGCCCTTCCCCTAGGTCATCCAGATGCTGTTTTCTTTCCATTGTTTTATATTGTAGTTTCATATACTCAGGTTTGGCCTTTATTTGTTTTTCTCATTCTTAAACAAAATAATACCTAACCCCACTTAAAATGAGTCACTTTAGATGGTGAGTAAGCTTTCTTGTTCCAGCACATTTTTCTTTCTTTTTTTTCTCCCCCCAGTACATTTCTCAATAACGATTTTGAATAACCTTCTCAGATGTAAAGCCGATAGGGAGAATGATACCTATATATTTCCCATATGTTTAACAATTTCTATCATATTTTAGCTATTACTTTTCCCTCATTTGAGAGAACATCTTTTCATACCCATGGCTGATACTTCAATAATGCAAATATTTTTTCATAAAATATAATTGAAATAACTCAGTTTATTAAGTTGGTGTTACTCTGATACATATACTGGACAATGAATTGAAGGAAAGAAAATTTCAGACAATAGTCCTAATGAATATAGATTGTAACAAATAGTGGTTACTAACATTTTTATTTCTCTTATCTGTCCTAACATCTTTTTGATTACACATTATTTTTATTTCAGTCTTTACAATATCATCTACCTCTTGCTTTCCATTACTTCTGTTATTGTCCTATTTCAGACTCTTAATAACTATCATTTGGATTATTATAGTAACTTTCCAACTTGTCTCCATATCTTCACTCCTTCATTTTCACTGCCCTCTACTAGAGTTTTCTTCCTAAACCTAACATTTCATCATGTCACTTCAGGGTTTGAGTGAAAGACTTTCAATAGTTTTATAGGTTTAAATTAGTGACTCCTATCCCAGCATTTAAAATTCTCCATTACAATAGTCAATCTACTTTTTTAGACTTGGATACCACTATACACACCGAATGCTCAGTCAGTGCCACTCCATAGTCTTGTTCCATCTTTCTAACGTTAGTACTTTTGCTATAGTGTTCCTTTTACATGAAATCTTGCCTGTTGAAATCCTACTTCTTCCCCAGTTTTAATCTCTCCACCTTTTATGCTCCCATGCTATTTGGTTTCACCACATTCTACCTTATATCATAGCTGAATATAGCACTTATTACTTGTTACACATATTTGGGACATGGCAAATAATATCAGGTCTTCTTTTCTTTGTGTGGGTATTTCCTGAATTTCTAATAAGGCTACATAAAACTTCAGAAAATAGTAATTCTCTATTTTCTCATTACTTAACATAGTATTGTACATACATAAATGTTAGATTATTAAAAAAATACTTGATGCTGGAATCAGGTAGATTTAGTGGTGGATTAAAATAAAGTCTAAAATATCTGCCCCTTCGTCCAGATGCAAGCCGCATTTAGAAATATCTGAACCTGTTTCTTTATTTCTATTTAACAACATCTTTTAAACTGAAACTAAATCATACATGTCCAAATGTGTGGATTTTCTGCATCCCGTATTCTGTAATTTTCTTGTCCAATGACTAATAAAAGCATTTTCACACATTGGGTTAGTTCGTGGCTATCCTTACTTATATCCCTATCCATCTTCAATCCTCTTTCTCCTCTCCCAATTCTAAGCTTTCTGTAAGCACTCTTCTGTATAGCAGAAAAAATCCTTAATGTATATAACCCTAATATTGATTTTGAATATTTAAGAACATTTACTCATCTAACATATAGACAACTTGGGATACTGAAATTCTCACTCAGTCACAGGAAGTATCATTTATTTTTCCATGTATTGTAAAATACATGCAACACTAACCCAAATATATACCGACTCATACGCACAGAGGCAACTCATTTTAACATAATTTCTTATGCTTCCTAGAAAATTCGTACCTTCAATTTGAGTGGCTATTGCTTAAGAAATACTCCTCTAAATATTTCATTTACTATCTAGATGCTTTCACTGTTTCTTATATTGCTTAGGTTTATATTTTTAGAATATATGTTCAAGAGGCATTGAAAAGATCAAAGCATTTGATGCACAACAAATTGCCTTTAATAGTTTCTAGGAATCAGATATTTGTACACTAAAAATAGAAATATTAAATAAAAATGTTACAAATAACAAATTTGCTTTATAAAAATCACAAATAATGGAATAAAAAGTGATATCTCTTTACTGTGTTTAATCTATAAGATAGAAAAACAAACCACAGTTTTCACTAAATTAAAATAAGCAGCAGCATATGCAGAAGATTTATAATTAGTGGACTGTTTCATTTAGCATTAATTTTAAAAATATTTATTGAACACCTACTTTATGCCAAACATTATGCAGTAAAGGATGATTGTTTTCTTAGCAACAAACAATTTCAGTTTAATTTTAAAGTGAATACTTTGTGGGGAAATGTAATCAATAATTTGTCTCTCAACCTCAGAACAATTAAATTGTCCCTGTTTTCAAATACCCAATTGGAGCGTTTCCAACTTTCCTATGTCTCTATTGTATAATGAATAATGTTTCCAGCTCACTAAAGTTGCTGCTAATCAAACATTAAAAAGAGAATCTTTATATTTTCAGATATGCTTTGCAAAGAAGCCCTCCCAAAATATGCACAGGGGAATTATAAGTTCATTAGTATACAGGATTTTAAATCTTAGATTCATGGTTCATTATGTTACCTTAGAGATAAAAACACAATTTTACACTTATATGACAGTGAAAAGAATTAGAATTAACATCTGATTATGAGTTTTAATTTTTAAAATTAATCTACAGGCATCTCTAATTTAAATACCTCAAATCAAAAACTACCTCTAATAGTTTATTACAAACAACATTTAAAACTGAAATTAGATCCATTTAGAGTAATGTTTTTGAAAAACATACAGTATTTTCAGATTTTAAAAGAATTTCAATCTTTTATAGTGTAGATTCTCATGTAGACAAACATAAAAATATATGCAGACTTTGTATTTTAGAAATATTTGCCACAATTCTTATTTGACTCATTCTTTATTCAGTTAAAGTTTGTGGCTACCTATTTCAAGGGAATAGATTGCCTGTAATCCAGTGACATGATGTAACACTCTTAATCATGGAAGCACATATCATACCAATTCTGGCCATAGGAAATGTATCATGTTGTTACTACATGTCACTAAAGTCTAAATTAGCTTTGAGACCAATCCAGGAAATTTAGCTAAATACTAAACCGCCTACAAAACTTTTACCAAATTTGGAAAGTTTTCCACTGATTTCTACAATGTTGTATAGGTTAGGATAGCCAGGTTGTGTGTTAGAAGAAATCCTAACCCAGCTCATCCTCCTAGGAATATAAATTTTCTGCCATAAATGGATACTAAACATAAGGACTTTCCATTGAGTAGCATTTGTATACAAACAAATTATTTTGTTACAAAGCTTATAAGGGTAATACATTCCAACAAGGTATTTGTCTCTAGTTCCTGTGATACTCTCTATGCAATTAGTAATACAAACAACAGTATGAAGTATGGTATAGGCTACCCTAAGAGAGATTTTGGACTAAACTAAGAATCGAAGAGGATTTTTTCTTTTATTTTTCATCCTGACTTAGTTATTCTTTTGGTAACTTGCTAACGATTTATTTTTTGAATATCTGTCACATCACAAGAAGACACATTCACGTGTATTTCAGAGACATTTAAATGTGTAAGAAAATACTCTGCTGTTTAATATCCAGTCAAAATATGACCATTTTGTCTAGAATAAGAGACTGAAATAGAAAAACAGGAATATGCATATACATGCACAATAACATTGTTAAGAAAAGTCAATATAAACAAAATTGTTCCAGGATGCCAAAGGTTGTTCCTAAAAAAACCTTTACATCTCTTTATTTAAAGTATCATGAAACATCCTAAGGTGATCATCAAAGTTACTTAACTAAAGAACTGACTTTTTGAAATCTTAAGAGATATGGTAGTCTTTCTAATTTGTTGTTATATGACATTATATGAAAGTGTTTGATTCAATTGCAGAAGTACTTATTGGCATTTATTGCAATTATTTTATATTTCTTTTTTTAAAAAAAAACTCATTTGAGAATACTAGAGAAAGCTGCTGAAAACATTGCATGTCTGTTCTACTTCATGATTTTGTCAGATCGCTCCCTCTTCTACCTTGTCTTGGGAATTGCTGCCAAATTCGTAAGTCTAAAACATGGTGTAATCATGTAATTTCCTTGCTCAGTTACCTTTGAATAAGTTCTTTAAAGTCTTCTTCACCCATCCAGTGTGATCCTAAACCAACTCTTTATGTGCCCTTCTAACATGGCAGCTTCCGCTCTGCCGCTATGTCTCTGACAACGTCAAACCTCATTTAGAATGTCTGTCTTGTTCCTCTGTGCCTGGCTCACTCCAACTCCTTCCTATCAGTTCCTGAAAGCCAAGTGGCATGCGTCTTTCTTAAATCACTCAGGCAGGTCCAAATATCTCCCTTGCCTGAATTACTGCAATAATTGGACATTATACCTTGAAGGTCTGCATGTGATAATACAGGCAAAATCCAGTAAGCTAATATGTTCCAAAGTTCATTTATAAATTACCTATGAGAAATTGAAAGTTCATTCACCCACAAAGTGCTCAATATAATTGATATTCCATGCTGTATTTTGAATCATCTAAAGTGTAGCTGACATATATTACTAACAAAAATGTAATTTCCGAAATTTTCAGTGGAAAGATGTATACTATATTCCAGCTCAAAAGCTAAAAGTCAATTATATGAGGTATCTAAAATGGCCAGGTTCATAAAATCACAGTGGAATGGTGGTTGTCAGGGGCTGGTGGGGAAGGGAAAGTGGGGAGTTGTTAATTGATAGGTCTAAAGTTTCTTAACTGCAGCATGAGTTAAGTTCTAGAGACCTGTTGTATAGTACTGCACCTATAGTCAACAGCAATGTACTGTACACTTAATTTGTTAAGAGAGTGTTAAGTGTTCTTACCACAATAAGATAAAATGTAAAACAAAACTGGAAGTTAAACATGCATCACTCCAGCATGTATTTTTTATACTTCGTTGGCAACTATGCAGTGCTAGATATGTAGGAGGTGCAATTTCTGGTTATTTCTTGCTTTAAAACTAAACACACCAAAACTTACTGGTTTGAATCCACTATTTTATTTTCTTACAAGTTTGGACTCTGGCCTGGCTCAGCTTCTGATTCTTCTGCTAGCCCTCAGCTGGCAAGTCAGCTGTGGGCAGTGCGGACATGGAGGGTGCTAAGCGTCTCTTTCCGTGTCGTCTCAGGGCCTCCCACTCTCCTTGATGCTTCTTCACATTGTGTTTCTAGAGGCATAGCTGAACTTCTTATCCGAACTCAAGGTTCCTATGAGTGCAAAGTGGAAGTTGCCAGACTTTTGAAGGCTTAGGCCTGCAACTGTCACCTTAGACATATTATTTTAGTTAAGTACATCATTGCTTCAGCTCAGATTCAAGGAGAGGGAATTGCACAAGGGAAAGAAAACCAGGAGACTGATTCATCGGGGCCACCAATGGAACAGAACCACATGGCTTAATCACTGCTTATTAAGTCGACTGCTAGTAATATAGAACAATGTATTCAAGTCTGTAATCACTAGGGGTAAAATGAATTTAGCATTTTGGCAGCATGCAAAATTTCTAGTATGTTGGAAATTAAATACTTTAGTTTGTGCCTCTATTATTCTTTTGACAAAGTTCCACTTCCTCACAACTTAAGCTGTAATTTCTACCAATGGGAGCTAAATTGAAAAGTTTTTACTTTTCTCTGTGCTAATTCCTGGTTTACAACGTTGAATACATTAGCAAAATACTAAGCCCTCTAAAATAATATATCACACGGTTTGAATAAAGTTGCAAAGCACTGGATTTTTTTTTCTACCCAAATATTTAATTTGAAGTTGGCTTCAATTTCATAATTTGGAGCGTCTTCAGAAACCAATTTATTAGCATCATGTAGAAAAAAATAACTAATCAAAGTATCCCAAATAATAAGCTTGCCAGGTAAATATTTAAAGACATCACAATTACTTGTAATGTTTTAACCACAATGCAAATATTAGTTCTAACAGTTTATAATGAATAACTCCAGAGTAAAGTGGGAACTTGAACTTCCCTCTTCAAATTCCACCCTCTCCTCATATCTATGAGAAAAAAAAATGTTAGTTACCATCTTTTGATTGCAAAAACCAGACACTCAGGTAATCCAAATGTTAGATAATCACAATGAAGATACAAATATAAATAAGAAAAACAAGAATCTTAAGGGACTCAGGGCTTGTCATATAGAAATTATAACATAAACAGGTCCCAGAGATGACTTAAGACTCAGGACAATTCGAGGAAGGAGATCTTACCTCTCAGTCCCAGAAAGTTGTCTGTTAACCACTGTATCCTTTCCAAACTGGCTTTTATCACTCGCAAATTTCAAACTCTATACTTTACTTTTTTATCTTTGGGTTTCTGCTGAGTCATA